AAGGGAGGGAAAGGAAGGGTGATCAGGGCAAGGGGTTCTGGGCTGGCTGAGCGAGGGTCAGGGAGGCATGGACCTGGGACCCAGGACACTGCCTTCCCTCTTGGGCACTGCCATAGGCTGTCTCCATTCAGAAGTGTGTTCCCAGGACAGCCAGAGGTGCAACAGGGCTCTGGACAGTCCTAAAAAGTTCCCATGTCAGACCTCCCAGTCTTGGGCTTCTGTTACCTTAGTAACACCCACACCAAGGCTTTCCAGAACTGGGGCCTGCTGCCCCAAGAGCCCAGAGGGTGGAGACCAGTGTGGACACCGCTAAGAGAAGCTGGGCTCCCATAACACAGTGAGGCTGATTGGGCCTGAGGGAGGCAGGGAAGAAAGGGAAGGGTCTGAGAACCAGCCTATTGGCCTATTCAGAGGAGAAGCAGGCCACCTGAGCCCTCAACCTGACCTCCAGGGCGAGATACCACCACAGTCAAGGGGGGACTATGGGGAACTGGGGCCAAGAAGGAGCCAGGCCGTCTAGGGGCGAGGCTCCCCTGTCAGGCAGCCGCAAGCACGACAACCAGGGCACCAGGAAGGGCCTCCTAAGAGTCCCGCAGGAGCCCCAGGCCCCCCGGAGCGATACAGCTGGCAGAGCCTGTGGCCAAATCAAGGCGGCACGCCTTCCTGCTGTGCTGTTAAGCTCCGTGTCCTCTCTGAGCCGGGTGTCCCTGCCGCCCCACCCCCCAGAGCGCCCCTCATCCCAGCTCCTACGCCCCAAATACCCAGAAAGCAAGCCTGGCGGAGGGGAAAGTTGGCGAGTGCGCGGCGCCCGCGGGGGAAAGCGTTAATGGGCGGCCGGGTGGGAGCAGCTCGCTCGCTCGCCCACGTCACACCGGTGCGGGCTCGGCTGACGACCGCGGCGCCTGGGGACGCTGGCGCGCTCTGCTCGCCAGGTGCTCCGCCTGGAAATGTCTCCATTAGTTGTCGCCTGCTCCCCGCCGGAGCGCGCGCGCCGAACGACCGCGCAGAGCCCTCACGGGCCGCCGGTAGTGGCCAGGCGCCACCGCAGGTAGGCGAGGTCCCCGCGCCCGCCCCC